TTCAACTTTTGAGCCAGGTCTTAAAGGTCTTACCAGTTGAGGTCTGCTCGAATGGCCAATGGCATAAATTTGAAATGGCTATTAGTGGAGCTCACAGCTTTCAAGGTGAGCTCAAGACGTGTGAGGAGTATATATCGACGTCAGCAGTATAAAGTGGAGACGCTATAAAAGTGTCTAAGAAATCGATAACTTGTATTTCGATTGAAATCGATAACAAATCTTTGTTATTTTCACCTTTTCAATAGGGCAAACTCTTCAAGTAAGATATTTATATGGGTTTGACAAATAAAAACTTTAGAAGAACTCTTTCAAAGTTGAGTTATTTGTTGATATCGAGGGTATTACCTAGAGTATTGCAGCAGTCTTAGTGGGAACAGTCTTGGATCCCAAAAGAAGCTCAATCTGAGCTACACCTGAGTTATATTAGACACATTCAAAAGTAAATACCAAATACCTAGCCCAACTTGACTTAGGTAGAGTTCATTATTCCAGTTCGATTTGCTGAGCTTGTTCAAATGAATATACGAATATTGTCTATGAAGAGATACATAAGCCATGAAGCAATTCGAACTGTGCATTATATTTATCTATTAATAAAATGAACTCGTTCTTTAGTTCACTGTTCACTGCATCAGTTTACTGGTTCATTATGTACTAGTTCAATTAGTTAGTAGTTCATAATATGAACTACATACCCTAAAATGAACTAATTTCACATTCGGCATGCACTATCAACAGCGGAACTGGTTCAAATGAGCGCAACTAAACGCTGAAATGAAATCGTTTCTTCATTATATTGCTCAGTTAACAACCAGAACTGGAACTAGTTTTTTTTGCAACCCTTATTCAATTGCATTTACCAAAACTAATTAACTAACTTACGCTTGTCTCGCATTTGGAATGTTTTCAGTTTCAATTGCAGTGCTTGCGATATCATTTCGCATAGAAAGGGACAGTTGCTGGAAGCTATTTGAACAACACTTGAACAAAACTCAAATTTAGCTAAATGCAATTTTAAACTGTTTTCACTGGGCTCTACTTCAACTGCTTCAACTGAAACGCTTTGGATTAATACAACTTTTTGCCTCATTTCTGTGCTCATATTAAACAGTGTTGCAAAGCGTAGCAAACACTTGACATTATGTAAAAAACAACAAATTGAATTGCTCTAGTTGGGTATGCAAGACGAGGAGGTACACGAAATGTTACCTAGAGCTGCTAGGCTATGTCTCTAGATGATGAGTAATAAGCTCTCTCTCTCTCTCTGTGTCTCTCTCTCTCTCTCAGTCTCTTGCTCTAACTGTGTAGTACTCTCCCTCTCTCTCTCTCTCCATGTCTTCTGGTCCCTCTCTGTCTCTCTCTACATGTCTCTTAGCCCATCTCTGTATCTTGTTCTCTCTCTCTCTCTCTGTCTCTTGCTCTTACTGTGTAGTACTCGCCCTCTCTCTCTCTCTCCACGTCTCTTGGTCTCTCTCTGTCTCTTGCTCTCTCTTTCTCTCTACATGTCTCTTAGCCCATCTCTGTCTCTTGCTCTCTCTCTCTCTCTGTCTCTTGCTCTTATTGTGTAGTACTCTCTCTCTCTCTCTCTCCATGTCTCTTGCTCTCTCTCTGTCTCTTGCTCTCTCTCTGTCTCTTGCTCTCCCTCTCTTTCCCACACTATTTCTGTCTTTCTCTCTGTCTTCTGATCTCTGGTGCTCTGCCTCTTTATATTTCCTTCTCTATTCTCTCGCTCTCTCTCTCTCTCTTTATATTACCCTCTCTAGTCTCTTGCTCTCTCTTTCTCTCTCTCTCTCTCTCTCTTTCTCTCTCTCTCTGTCTCTTTCATTCTCTGTATTTTTATCTCTGGTGCTCTACCTCACTGTATTTCCCTCTCTCTCTCTTTCTCTCTTGGTCTCTTGCTCTCTCTCTCTCTCTCTTTATTTCTCTATCTCTAGTGCTCTGCCTTTCCTTTTCTCCCTCTCTCTGTCTCTCTCTCTCTCAATCTCTCTCTCACTATCTATCTAACTCATTCTTTCTATCTGTATCTCTCTCTGTGTCTCGCTTTCTCTGGTACGCGGCCTCTCTTTTCCTCTCTGTATTTCCTTACCTCTCTTTCTCTCCTTTTCCCCCAATCTGCCATGTCTGCTCATCGCAAAACTCTTTAATCTCTTTGAATTATAAACGACATGAAGGAAATTTGATTAGGTAACACTTGAGGTATATATATAGAATATACATATGTAATACATGCCTCGAATTTGAAGAACCTTCGTTCACAAACGGACGCACACCCAAAACAAGCTAGATTGATTTAGTGCCCCAACCAGATCTGGACTATATATGTATATATAAATATATGCCTAAAGTAGTTTGCGGTGTTTTCCTCTGCTTGTTTCAAGCATTTGCACAAAACTTGAAAATACGCTAAAAAAAAAAGCGGTTGCTGGGCCGGGAGGCGGGAGGCGGGAGGCGGTATGCAGCAGGCGGTTGCTTGGTATCTAAGGTGCTCTGACAGCGCGCACCCTGCGCTGCAGCACACTCACGAGCAGAGCACCCACTCCACTTTGCTGGGGGTTGGTAAACGCGTTTGGCCCGAGGCGCAACGCAAATCCGTTTAAATTTATGGCGTGTCATTGTTTTGGCATAAAATTAAGTGAGTGCAATGCCAAAATGGAGCATGCAGGCGCGTTGGGGCGTTGGGCCGGTGCGGTAGGGGCACCGGCTTGAGTACATGTGTAACCCATGTAGTTGAACATGCATGCAAATGATTGCAGTGCCGAACATGGCGAAGGCGCTGAGGTAGAAGCAGCAGAGGAACTGCTGTAGGAGGCGTCCAATGAAATTTTCAATAAGCAGCGCCGCCCCCTTGTGGACAGGGGCTGTGGCGCTGGGCGGGGCAGTTAATGTCTGCATGGCCAAATGGCAAAATATAATTCATAAAATTCATAAGCGCTCTTTTAATTTATGAAAGAAGTCCCAAAAAAAAAAAACCCCGTACCGAACCGAACCGAACAGAATATTCAGTGAGAGTTTCAGAGCGCCCAGCCCCCCTTCAGTTCATCCTTCCGTCCTTCCTGCCGTGCTGCCATGGCGCAAGTCTCAATGGAAACCCCTCGAGCGGTTCTATGTAATTTTAATTAATGCGTCCGTCGTTTAACATAAACGAAATGGGAATACTAAATGGAAAAGAGTGTGTGGGCGGGCCGTGTGGTGGGGGTGTGACAGCTCGATGCTTAGGAAAAAGCTTAAGAGAAATCTATGACGAAAAAACTTTTCACAGACAACAAAAAGAAAAACAATGAAGAAAATCAAAAAGAAGAAGTTGAAGAAGAAGAAGAAGCATACAGAAAGAAACTTGACAATCTCTCATTTTACTTTTTATGTTTCATTTTTTTTGGTAGCTATGGAAATGCATAAAAAAAAAAAGGATTTTGCCTAGGCAAAAGAATGCGAGATTCTTGGGTCTAGGCTGAAGGAACTCGGAGTATCTATAGAGTAACAAAGATAGGGAAAGATATATAGAGGGTGTTAGTCAAGGAATACTTTGAAAATAGCTGCTACAGGGTAATTGCCAGTCGATCAGTTGGGCTTAAGCTCAGTGTATATATTTTATACAGGATAACTGCCAGTCGATCAATGATTCAGTTACTAGAGGGTGGCTATGGCTTATCCAGGGTAGCTGTAGGTCGATCAGTTAGGCTAAAACTCAGCTACTGGGTTGCCTACAGGGTAGCGATAAGTCGATCAGTTAGGCCAACAGTTACTAGAGTGTGTGTATATCTCATACAGGATAACTGCCAGTCGATCAACTAAGCTACAGCTCAGCTACTACACGAAGATTGCAGCATATGCAGGGTATCTGTAAGTCGAGCAATTAAGCTACTGGAGGGCGACTATACTTCGCACCGGATCAGGCTAAGGCTCCTCGACTTTACACTGGGTAACTGTAAGTCGAGTCGGACTACATCGTCTACAGGGTGACTGCTAGTCTATCAACTCGGCCGCTTTGCTCTAGTTCTATGCACTTGTCGGCAACATCTGAAACTCGTTTCTGCGCTTCTCCGTTTATATGCGTTATATATGGGGTTGCCTGATATGATTAATGCCCTCCAAAAAGTTGCCAAAGCGAGAAAAAAGTGAGCTAAGTGCGGCAACTTTTTAGCTTGTTTTGATTTCGCTCGAGTTGAACGATCGAGTGAGGGATATATACATAGATATACATGGATATACTATATACATATATAGTATTTGTTCTTTTTTTTGGGAGGGGAGGCTACTTAACTGCATATTAATCAGCTTTACTTTAGCACGGCTTTTGGAACTTTGCCAGAACTGTGCAACAGCAAAGGGGCGTGGCCAGACAACGTGTTTGGCTTCTTTTTTTTTGCAGCTAACAGCAAAGTTTAAGCAAGCACGAGACAAGACAACATAAATAATGGGAAATTCTTGCCTGAACAATTAAGTAGCTGTTGGCGATTTGTAAGAGTTAAAAAAAGGTTCAATTAAATTGAATTTGGTCCTTGAGTTGAAATAGCGGGAAATGGTTTAGAAATATGTGGAAGTGAAATTATTTAAAATAATAACGGACTAGGCATACGTAAAATACTGGTAAATACTGAGAAATACAGTTAAATATGGGCAATTACTTAACTGGTCAATAAAAGAGCTGAGGTATTTAAATCGAATAATACGTCCCATAATAGTGGGAAATTATTTCATTCATGAACGGATTGATAAGAAATATAGGGAAATATGATTTAAATAGAATGTGATTATATATACATATATATATAAGCGTATTGATAGTAGTGGAGTTTATACTCAACTCTCATTGATTAACTTTTAGGATAATATTGGGAGTTTCGGGATAGACTACAGCCTTCTAGCTACTTCTACAAACGCTGCTTCTAGGAACTTGAGCCAACTCCCAGTTTATTCAACTCTCGAATTTCTTTGCGAATTTCAATTTGGATACACAAACAAGACCTTCAGTACTAGAAAGATATACAAATAAACTATACAGAGAATAGACAAATCTATTTTTGTTATCAAAATTCTAAATGTTTATTAGCGTACGTAAAAAAAAAAAAATTGTGAACTAAATTGTGCTGAGTGCCCGAAGATCGCTGGGTCCATTCCCATTCTCTAGTACTGTCTGCGCTGGCGATAGCCTGGAGGGAGATAGCGGGACGATGGGGGCAGGACGCTGGAAGCGGAGCCACGATAGGCACCGCCATGATAGCCGCCAGCCGAATTGCCGCTGCGATGGCTGTCAGGAAGGAAGGGAAATCAAATTGAGTGAGGGTCAGAGGGCAGCAGGGGATTAATCCTTTAGCTGTCGACTTACTCGTTGGACAGTGAGGGCGAGGTGGGCAGGTGAGCGCCCTCAGCCTGGAAGCCATTCTTGTCCGCTTTGTAGTTAACGGTGTACTGTTGCCCATCATCTCCCGTATAGGAGTAGGAGCCACGCACTCCGAGGGATCCATGGGGCCAGCCACCTTTGAATTCGCCCGTCTCATCGCGGTGGATGCCATTGCCCGTATCGAAGCTGAAAGCCAAGACGAACCGAGACGAGACGAGAGTTTGATTAATTGGCAATTCATAATTATTTCACTCTCCGTCGACTATTTATAAACTTTTGGCTTAGTCGCAGCTTATGGCAATTTGCTTTAAATAGAGTTTAATTAGTAAAACAAGAAAGATTTATGCTTCAAATGGGAGCAATTAGTATTTCGATTTAAGCCTGCAATGGAATATAATGGGTTTGTTTATTTCGAATCGCTCAAGAAGTGGGAAGAGTAGCTGTAAATACATATATACGGATATTTAGCTGAGAACATGGTTGAAAACTGGGAACAGTTGTAAAAGTAAGACAGGGAAGAACTTTAAACTTGAAATTGATGGACATCAGTGTTGATTATTATATAAAATTCCTATGCCAGGGAGAAACATTGAAGTGGGAACAGTTGTGAATGGATCTTAGAAGCAGATCTAAATGATCTAAGTGATTGGGGTGGTATATTTTAAGAGTAATTAGCTGAAAGCAGTTGGAAATTGATTGGGAACAGTTTGGTAAAAATGGGAACAGTTTGGTAAGACTGGGAACAGTTTGATTAATGGGAACACTTGGCGGAAAATTGCAGTAGAACTGAAATCAGATTGACTAGCGACACTTGCTCAACTGTTCACACTAATGGGAACAGTTTGATTAATGGGAACAGTTGACGGAAAATTGCAGTAGAACTGAAATCAGATTGAATAGCTGTTCACACTAATGGGAACAGTTATTAAAGCCAAAATCACTTTAGAGTTGTATAGAAATCAGGGGAATTCTTGATGAAGTGTAAGAGATGATGATTAACTATGAATAAGGTGGAACGGGCGGTGCATTTACCCAAAGTTATAATTGCCACTCGTGTCGCTCTGGTAGTCACTGCGCACAATCGGTATCTGAGCCTGGCGAGCACCGGCTCCAGCTCCACCTCGGCCGCCTGCGCCACGACCATGCCCACTAACGCCATGGTAGTGCAATTGATTCGGATGCGGTGCCAGGTACTGGTTCGACGGCAAATAGCGCTGAGCCGGACGGCCAGCCACAGCGCTGCCAACAATGGCGCACGCCAGCAGGATCAATGGATGCAACATGTCGCACAATAGTTCACAATAAAAAAAAAACCAAAATGAAGCGATATGCAGATCTCTGGTAGCTGTAACTGTCACTTGAACTGTAGCTGTAGCTGTAGCTGTCGCTGTAACACTGTGGATGTAACTGTATCGTCAGCTGTTGCTGTGGAAACGCTTTAGCGCCGACTGTTTGGGGCTTAGCAGCGGCGCTGCGTCTTTTATACTCTAGCACAAGTTCAAAAAAATTTTAATTGTTTCTTGCTTCTTCATCTCTTCTTCTTCGTCGTCGTCGTCGTCTTCAGCTTCAACTTCATTCTATAAAGATTCGAGTCGCTTTTGCTGTTGTTGCTGTCTTTCAATTAGCCCAAACGCTGTCGAGGCGTTTGCTACATGCACCAAAAACACTTTGCAATTCGTTGGCTTTTTTTTTTTGGCTATTGCAAAAATTTTGGATTTTCATTGTTTTTTTCTCATCTCCCCCTCCTCTCCCATCTTCTTCTTCTTCTTCGTCATCTTCCACTTTTAATTAATGTTTAGCTTAAGCTAAGGCTCTTGGCTTCACCCAGCTTTGGGTGTGGGCGTCTAGTATCAAGTATTTTGTTTGCTTCTTCTTCTTATTCGGGGTGGGCTTCACTAATTATAACTCATGTGCCACCATCATTAGCCAAAGCATACACACACTCACACACATACTAGCTGCCGCTTTGGTTTTTTTTTTTTTTTTGAAGTTCCGGCTCGCCTCGCGCTATGAAGTGCCCTCACCTGAGGGCCAAAATCCCGAGCGCAAAAACAACTAGAGGCGATCAACAACAACAACAACAACAATTATAATCTTAAGCTACATCATCAATAAATCCGTAAACAGTAGCCTCAACACTTCTGAAACGTTTAAACATTCTCATTCCACTTGCTTTTCGTTTTCTAGTTCGTAAAAGTCGTAAACGCATTTCATTGAAAATGTGGATAGGAATTTATGTAAATAGGGTATATTGATTAAAGTATTTGCTTGATCAGGATGATGAGCTGAAAATGGGAGATGGGATATAGGAGATAAGAGATGGGAGATAGGAGACTAGAGATATGAGATTTCAGATATGAGATATGAAATAAGAGATAAGAGATGGGAGATAGGAGATAAGAGATATGAGATTTCAGATATGAGATACGAGGTATGAGATTTCAGATATGGGATATGAGATATGAGACACAAGATATGAGATATGAAATATGAGATACGAGGTATGAGATGTGATATAAAAGATAAGAGATAGGAGATATGAAATATGAGATATGAGATGTGAGATAGGAGGTGGCATATCTTCTATCTCTTATAGCTCATGCATATTATATATCTCATACATCTCATATATCTCATATTTCATAGCCCATACCTCATATCTGAAATCTCACATCTCATATCTTATATTTCATATCTCCTATCTCTTATCTTTTATAAGAGGATAGGAGGTGGCATATCTTCTATCTCTTATAGCTCATGCATCTTATATATCTAGGAGATGAAAGATAGCAGATAGGAGATGGGATATAAGAGATTTGAGATGGATGGTAGAAGATATGAATTAGGAGAAAGGAGATAAGCAGTAGCAGATGGGAGATACGAGATACGAGATACGAGATATATATCTTTGTGTGAATATATGCATGGAAATTGCTTCTGTTAGTCGAACATAACCCACTTGAGCGATTCTCATATTTGTTTCATATTCAATAAAGCTTAATTCCCCCATCCAGACGCCTTCCTAATACGCTTTATAAATAAAATTGATATATAATGGGAATATGAAACCGCTTTACTTGCAATTGCTTTCAATTGCTTGGGGTATACCCCGCCAAATGTCGCTCATTGTAAAGAATTTGCTACCTCAAGCACTTCTCGCACTTTGATTGTTTTGGCATGACGAGACAGGTTCAGAACGCTTCGGATTTTCCCCAAAACAACAAACAGATCTGGAAATATAAATAGCACTGTGAGCAGTGCCAGAAATAAAAGAAGTAAGTACAACTGCGACCGTGGGTTGAGCACTACTGCCAGATTCCCTGGACAAAGTGAGGGGAGAGGTGGCTGGAAATGGAGAAATTCATTGGCATTGTTTGTAGTGGTATCTAATAGGAGTTTGAAGTGATTCTTGGATAGTAGCTAGACCATGAGAGGAGTATATTATAGTTGAGTTACTTAGGTAGAGTCGATGTAGAGTCTAAGCTATGATCTATTTCTACTTCTTCAATGAATACCCTTTTAAATCTCTTCACCCATATGCCATTTCAAGTCAAAGCTAATATACCCCGGTCTACGCTTAGCTTTGTAATGGGCTCGGTGTCTAAAAATAGCAATGGCGATGCGCCCGGTGTTGGTTCTGTTCGTACAGTCGCTTCGCTTTGCCGTGCCAAACAATGGGAATGGTTCGAGAATAATGTGCGCATATCCGCAATTATTAAAATAATGACAACAACAGTTTCGTTGCTGTTGTTGTTATTAAAAACAGCTGTCGATAAGCGATAAAGCGAAAACTTCATTAATTAATTATATACATAATTAATATTGATGAACGACTAATCAAATAAAAGCGTGAAAACTCAACTGGCCGTTGAGCTGGTACGCAGCTACAATTATAAATTGCCAACGTCATTATCATCAGCACTATCGTAATTATCGCCATCATTAACACGAGCGTCATCATTATTATGATCATTCGTTCATTCATTCAGTCCGTATCGTAAAGAGTTTCGGTGAATGTCTTTGCGGCGCCTAAACGTTGATCTTTAGAGAGCGCGTGCCGCGCTTTTGTTGCTCTCTTCTTCTTCTCCTACTTCTTCTTCTACATCTTCTTCTTCACTTTGTTTTCAAATCTTCGTCTAATGATTCGCTTTTGAGCATCATTAAAAAACAACTTTATTTTCATACTCTAGCTAAATAGTTAACTATATATGTATGTACTTGTATTTATATGCATCTATTTATAACTCTGTGCTCACTGCTCATTTTAACTATAGTAGTTCTAGCTTTTGCTTTGTCATAAGTCGAAAACAATAGGATTTATATACATCTAATTTGATATTTAACTTTATATATATATATAGTATAATAAATACCTATACCAATTTTTCAATAACTCTCAGGAATTTGGCAAGAGATATGAGAAACTCAAATGTGTTAATATTATTGTGGTATACTATGATATTTATTTATTTATTTCTTAAAGCTATTGACAAAAACGAGAGTCAAATTAAAGTTTTAAAAAAAAACCTAAACAAAGTACAGGATAGAATATCAATAGTAACACCGACCCAAAGTACAGGATATAATATCAATAGTAACACCCACCCGATGGGGTCGGTAGCACTCTATATATATAAAACATTCAACATAAACTGAGAACATGATTATGTAAATATATAAATATTATTACTAATATAAATATGTATAATAATATCAATTTTATATATCGTAAATTTGATCCGATTGTAAATTTACTCTACGAAAAAAGTGTAAAAAAATATCGAAAAATATTGATATATTGATATTTTTAAAGATGCATATTAAATATCATATTGATATTTTCTTAAAACTCTAAATATCATCGATACGATTATTTTATGAAATATGCGACAATCGTATAGAAAAGTTGTACAGAGTATAACTCTCTATATAAAGTATATACGTACATATATTGAAACTGTAGCTTCTGTACATCATATATTCAGATTTTATCATTATCTCTATATTTAGTATATACGTACATATATAGAAACTGTAGCTTCTGTATATCATATATTCAGGTTTTATCATCATCTGCAGATTCCATCTACAAGCTTTTACTGTATAAAAATGTTCCATCTGATCCCAGCTGCATCTCAATTTTACCTGTTTTCAACCTTATCAAAACTTGCATGCCGCATATCTTATGTAGAACCGCTATCTATCAGATATCTGGCAGCTTCTGCCTGCATATGTGCCCTTTGCCACGCCTCCGCGCCTTTGCGCTCGTTGCATTTGAACTTCGCGCTTGGCTGGCCGCTGGAAATGCATATTGTACAGTTAGATGGACAGATACTAGCTGCTACCTGATGGCCTAATGGGCCATCATTAAGTTTCATTACGAGCTAAGCTAAGCTGCGTCTATCGCGCTCTCTCTCTCGCTCGCTCTCTCTCTCTATTTGAGATACTTTTCATAATTTATGCAGACAAAGTTTTGGGTTTTTTTTCTCCCACTTTCTGCTCTAGCGGATGTAATGCCAGCCGCAAATGAACTTGTAATTCGCAATGAATTTGACACTGACAGCTGGCAGCTGGCAGCTGTTGCAGTACACATACTTTTGGCATTGACTGTCGACTATGGCAAAAACTCTCAGAATCCACCTGAAATCCAATTGTGTAACATTTCGGATTAGAGCTTCAGGCAATTAGTAATATTTATGAAGCGTACTTAAGTTGGATATCTGAAATTCGATTCAAGCGAATCTCAGCAGTAGTGGAAATTGAAAAGAGAAAAAAGAAAAACTCTTAATAAACCCAACTGAAAGTTGGCTAAGCCGTTTAAGAACTCCAAAGCTGCTCAACTTCATTAATTGTGACATTTTACAACACTGTCCGAGGTAAGACACTGTTATTCAATTTTCACTTTTTTTGCTCCGAGTTAACCAAGTTGTTTAAGCTTGTGAAAATTGCCTGAAATCGGATTAGGTGAGAGTTAAACTGGAAGCTGCAGTTGCTTAACGAGCTCGGTTGGCTCAGCACTTGGTTAATATACCCTGTAAATGAGCCAGTGGGGTATACGAACTACGAGTTGCATAGTTGTCGTTGTCAAAAAGTAGTTTTAATCGATTCGATATATCAAAACTCGTTATATCTTGAGATTAACTGATCTAACTGTCTAGGTGAACTCGGAAACTGGTTGAGCTAAACTTTTGAAATTGGACGCAGAGCTATATCAAAAGTCTTGATAGCTTATACTTCCTTTTCAGAGTCAAAAACTTCACTCTTATCTGTCGTATATTCCCTGCCGCAGGTAATTGCTAGTCGCAGTACTTGAGTTGTTATTAAATTGTTC